TTGCACCTATATGCGTTTAATGTCTCGCTGTTTGCAACTTGATGTATCGTACAATCACTTAAATCGCGTCACGCGTAAGCCGCTCTCATCACACCGGTAGTACAAAAGCAGATAGCCTAACATACTTATCAAACAACTTGAAACGTCTAGTTTCGACTGCTATTTGCACCTATTCGTCGACATTCCTGTACGTGCTCTTATACCTTTGGAGATCTCCGGTATCATTAGTGGGCCTCCTTTTGTACTGTCTGAAGGGAAAGATTTTCACTGACGCCTACGAACCAACAGATCTTGCATACATACTCTGCAACAGACTTCATGATATAACCCTACTACATCTCACCACTCACGCTACACAAATGAACTGCATAAGTCTATCAGATTCATATGCATACCTGCGTTGGCATCTACTTTGGGTTTCTTGTTCTGCTGTCCTGGTGCCTCCTCACTTACAGCACGTCTATTTTTCTTTGTTGTTTGGGGAGCCTTGCCAAAGAAGTCCGCCATAGTCTTCTGCTGTCCCATATTGACTTGCGCTTCCGTATCTAACAATAAAGTACGGTTTCAATACCTCGCCTGTCTGTGTTTGCACTATTATACGCAGATGTAGCGTCAGGCACAAGTAGGCTGGCTAGTTATTTATTTGTTGGCAATTGCATGCAAATGTGTGTGAAATTGAAAGAGTGTGCCCACTGTATTTTAATATATCCATATGTATGCATGTGCGTGCGTGTATCATATAAACATATACTCTAGCAACCTACGCCCATCGCATCCCTGCTATGTATTCTAATCTTTATTTACCTGTTGTCATCGAAGTATATTGAAGTATTTAAGCTCTTTTAAAACTTGTGCTTGAATAATATCAACATCCTTTATTCTATGCCGAGTGGTGTGGCCCGTGGCCGTGGGTACAAACTATAAGCCCGCCAAAAAAGCCACACGATCATTTTGGCGCCTTTTCGTAGGGTTTTAGAGTTTTGCTATTTTTGGGTTTAGGCTTTTTAGGTTTTTCATTCTTACTTCTCATTGACTCATCTCATACAGTTCCCCTTGTGTACCTGAATATTTAAATACCCTTGCTATACATCAGGCGCTTCATATCGTAGGTGCAGAGACACTTTAGTGGTGATAGAATCTCAGGAACATGCCAGGGGTATCCACCATTGACTACAATCCCAAAGACCATGACTACCCGTAAACTCCAACGTGTGAATTTCGAGTGGCCCTCGGTGCACGCGCGATTAGAGCGCAACAAGTTCTATACATGTGCGGACGTGTTGAGTATCTCCAAGTATGAGCTTATAGACCAGCTTGATATCGACTACCACGTGGCTGAGTCTGTTTATAACGCTATAGCATTGGCGAGTATGCCAAAGGGTACGAACGCTGCGACTATGCTTGCGGAAACAACTTACCTGCCCATTGGGTTGGGTCTACTAGATGAACAGGTGTGTACAGGAGTGGGGTGGAATGTGTCTTTAGGTAAGTAGTGATAGGTCTTACGAGTGATGATAGTCAGTAGGTTTATGGCCTATCCCAGGCGGTAGTACTGAACCGTAGGGGTATATACTGCTACGTGGTTTGGAAACTCTGTGTGGGTAGGATAATTATGTCAGTAGGCTACTGGGGCGTCCTTTAGCTCTATATGTATGTGCTTTAACTCTATATGTATGTGCTTTAGCTCTATGTGTATGTGTAAGTGTCAGCATCACAACCGTGATAAGAGGTAACTATTACGTAGTATATCGTACTCTGCTTTCCCCTGTTTCCACGGGTAGACGGTAATAGTACTAGTAGTGTTGACTTTCACGATCTCGCGTTATGCATTAATATGAACTGCGACACAACCGATCTGCAGCAGGTGACCTCGAATGGGCGTGTCTGTGATCGACTATTCATGGTATCATGTTTTTCTTCTTACGAGCGCGCATACTTGAGGGAGTGAATATTTGATCAAGAATGACTATTAGTATCTGACTATATACCTGTCTGTAAGGTATATATACCATCATATCTCTGCCGGCCTCCTCAGCACACTCCACCCCGGGAATCAAACACTAACGATTAGATATATAACTTTTCTAGCACAGAGTATAGTTTATTAGAATGTGGATGTCCAGTAGCTCAATGATGACACTCGCAGTCTCTGTATTCTAGACAGAGTTGTGATTCCTTACTCTTGTTTAAAACAAGGCTTTAGACAGGCATGTGATGTTTGTGACTTTGACTACTGTCTATATGCATTGTGAAGTCCTGGGAGTTAACGCACACAACCTTGTAGTCATTTGTTGATCTTTCACTGTACAAGTATTGTATTTTACGTTAACACGTTGTTTCCTACAGTTGAAAGGGGGACTGCTAAGTGGTACGCTTACCGAAGTAGTTGGACCGTCTGGAGCCGGCAAGACCCAATTCTGTCTGCAGTCTGTTATCAATGCTGTCCTTGGCAGCGGTGTGGGCCCTGACCCAGAGCAACTGGTGTGTGTATTCTCGTTACCGATGCAACTCTCTGTCATATATGGATGTTCGACGATATTTATGACGGTGATTGTATGGGTCAATTTAGTATGTATATGACCTAAGGTATAGTCGGTATCCTCCCCGGTTCGACAACTGTGCAATTGACAAATAACGGCTCCGTGCATCAGATTACTCTTTCTATGTCTCGTGGGCATGAACGCACTCGTATATGTGCGCATGAACATTATTTGCTGTATATGTAAATTTTTATGTGTATATATGTACTTCATATACTTATATTCCGTGTATGAATGAATATAAGTGAATATATATA